AACACCACTGTGGCATCTCTGAAAAATTACTGCTTTCAGGCATGAAGGCCCTACAGTCATCGAAACTGTTCTGAGAATAGACTCGCACTGAATAGCTTCTGCAGTAGGATAACCTGATTCACTGATCATTTTTCACGTAAAATTCAAAAACAGTACCACCCTCTCTCAGTCTAGAGATTGCAGGAATATCTTCCAAACCTTTATTTAGAGTGAGCAGCTTCCGTTGGATAGCCACCTGTGTGGTGTCACTCCTCTTAAACTCAGCAGGTCCAAACTGCACTATCCTCGTGCATCCCCTACCCTAATCTTCCTCCTGTTTTCTGCCTTCATGGGTGGCACCGTCAGCCTCTCTTCAGAAACGGGGCAGTCAGCCTCCAGTCCACCTTCTCTCATTAAATCAACCTCCAAGTGTCACCAGTGACCTTGCAATTCAACCTTTCCATTCCATCTTTCCTGTCCTACTTCAGCTCAGACTCCTAGCTAATTGCTGTAATAATAAAACCAGAGTGGGAAGACCCTGAGGGCAGGGACCAGGACCCAGAACAGTGTGGTAGATAAGACTAAGAAGCTGGAGCCAGAAGAGTGGATTTGAATCCCAGGCAGTATGCATCAAGCGTGAGATAAGGATCTTAGCTTCAGTTTCCCTGTCTGTACAATGAGAATAATAAAAATACCTCCCTCCCTAGGGTGTTGTGAGAATTAAATAAAGTTAATAGACTTAAATACTTACAACAGTATGTGGCATACAGTGTGAGTATTAGCTATTAAGGTTAACAATAGATATTATAGCTATAATGACAGATGGGGAAACTGAGGCTCAGAGCAGTTAAATGCCTTGTTTTGGATCACACAGCTATTAAACATGAACCACACAGCTGGCATATCAATCCAGGTCTGTCCTTCATCAAAAGCCACACTCTTTTTTTCCATATATGGCACATCTAGGGCTCCTAATGCATCTGTTAATGAGGAAATGGAATCTCTAAAGTACCAACACAGAAAGATGCCATATATTCTATAAAACAGTATGTATAATATGATCTCATTAAAAAAAGTTTAGAGTCAATTATAAATGTCTCTACTATCATCTCTGATCATAGTATGTTCCTTTCTCATCTTATTTTTCATTTGTGTCTCCTACCAAATTACCTGAGAACGGGGAATCTCCATTGCATAACACAAAGCGAGACACATGACATTTGATATTTGTTAAATTGGTAAATAGCATTGGATTTTTAAAAAACTAATTGAACTTATTTAGTAGATAATATATGAACAAGGTAAAGAAACATTCAAACTATGCAAAAACTTATTCAGAAAAAAGTAGTATTTCTTTTGCCCCATTCCTCAGAGATCCAGCTCCTAACCCAGGAGACAGCCACACTGACCAGTCTCTTGTATATCTTTCTAGAGACATTATAGAATTGCACTGAATTTTAGTGCAATTTAAATTTATTGCCAAAGAGCATGGGAGAACAGGGTGGGGGGGATGCTTTATAAAAATTTAGTCTGTATGTTTTTTTTCCCTGAGAAGTCATCAATTTCTCTGAAACACATATGAAGGAGAACTCAGATGTAAACTCTATGTGTGTGTGTGGCAAGGCCAGCATCAGAAAAAGGTGCTCGTTACTGTGTTTGTAAACTCTTTCAGGTAAAACCATGATCTAATTCTATGCAATTCTATTTGCAAATTTCTATCCCTTGCAGCTAATCTTACCACCCATTTCTTCATAATTCTTTGGTCTGCGATTTCATTTTTATTGTGCGATTCGTTCCCTAGACATGGAAAGAGTCAGCATTGTGTGACTTGAGCCTGACAAAGGACTTTCCCTTTCTTTCAGTGAGATATCTGAGGTCACTCTAATGCAACTTACCACCCCATTTGAAATGAGAAAGTGCTTTCTGAAGGAAGAAAGACAGTAACCACTCTTCCCAGTGTGGTTTTTGTTAGAGGGATGTCTGCAACAGCCCTGGAAGACATTAGCTAATGCTTTCATGATGAGCCCTCTTAACAGGACTTGGGGCTTGGTACTGTGTTCTCTCAGGTTGCTAATCTGCTCTTGTTACATGGGCTTTCATAGCATGGCACATTCAGACTTTGACATTGCTTGGAAAGGACATAAAATCGCACAAGTGGCTCTATACTTACGCTTGTGGAGAGGAATTAATACTGAAATATTTACAATTCTCTGCTTTATTCTGAATATCTAGGTTCACATGTCTCTACCTCTGCTCCATAATATTTTTCTAGTTTTCACTTTCACACATTAAATGCACATACATTTTATTTCAAAAAGGCAAAATGAAACAGACTGAACAAAAAATTCACCCCAATACACAGATTTTTCCCAGTGTATTTTTTTTTTAGTTAAAAACAATTAAAACCTAAGAATTTGAAAACGAGGTAATAGCTAGAGTTCTTCTCATCTCTGGGGAAATAATTATTTCCTCCTTCCTTGCTAGCATCTTTCCCAGTTTTTCCTATGCTGCAGCAAAAAATTAGAGTTGGTGTCCAGACATACATTTTTCCTGTTATTTCTTTTAGGGCTGATGCAGACATGCAACCCAGTGACAGGCTAAATAGAGCCTTTATGTCCACTGGGCCATCAAGGGAAGACACACCAACAGATAACTGAAGGGTTCTTCCTTTGCTCCTAAATCTGTTTGTTACTAAGTTGTCTATTTGTTATTCCAAATCTTTAGTGTAGACTCAGTGGTCTCTCTGACTGTCAATGAGCTCTTTTTATGTGTTTCTTTGTTAGTGCCTTCTTCTTGGTGCTTCTACCTCCTAAGTTTCCATTAGTAAAGCCAACTAGGAGGGCATCTGGCCAACTTATCTACCCCAGCTCAGCCAACTTTTATTGCAGTTCTCACAAATCTTAGGAAAGGCCTCATTGGGTGAGGAAGTGATCCCAGAACTCCTAGAGAAAATGGACTCTTAAATTCTGGTATTATCTTCCTTTTATTAGCTATATTATATCTTTGTACTAATCACTTAGAAACTTCCTTCTCCATCAATCTGCCTTCCATGTTCAGGTTTTATTACTTTCCATTCCTCTATTCTTCAATGGAAACATTTCTGTCTTAGAAATCGAAACTTTCTGGTGTTTATAATACCATTTTGAATAAGCATTTCTGCATCTTTTTCAAATGTACTCCAGTATTACTGAACTCTATTATTGTACACCTAGGATTATGAAATAAATGAATATTTGTTAAATGGATGAGAGGGAAGTGGCTTGAAGGTTTGGAGAATTGTAAATTTTCTGCTGAGTTTAACTGGGTAAATCGTTTAGTAAAATGACAATGCTATGTGAATATATCTAGCACTGCTAGCTAATTGGCCTCCACCAACACCTAAGAGAGCTTCTCTTCCTGGCGTCTCTCGCAAGACGTCAACTAGTCTGCAGAGCAGAGAGGCAGGATGATAGAATGGTTAGGGCCTCTGGCACTAGACTTTCTGCTCTAGCATTTACTAGTGTTGTGACTTTGGGCAGTTTGCTTGATCTCTCCATAGTTAGTTTCATCTATAAAACAAGGACCATCGTAGTAATCATCCCTTTTTACTCACTTCTTGGCTTGTTTATATGCAAAACACCTAGAAAGTAGCTGGAATAGTACTATATAAACATTTACTATTATTATTATGCAGCCATTGCTTGGTTTGATACTGACTGTGATTCAGAACAAAAAATGAAGTGAGCATATTACATTTTGGCATTGACTTCCAGAACAAAGACATGGTCCTAAAATACTTCTAGGAATATATTAAACCTGGGAACCTACTATAGAAAGCCATTACTTCTGTGGATCAGTCAGGACACATGCTCTTTGAATATCTCTAAAATTAACCGAACAATCATTAGTCACCAACAATTACTCAAAAGGAGCCCAAGATGTTGAAATAGGATATATCTAAAGTCTTATGACAAACGCTCTTGCTGCATTTCTATTTCTCTGCCATTTAGGAATTCTATTTTCTTGGACAAAGTTATAATTATATTTACATACTACAGAATTTTCTAAATCTTTATTGAGTCATTACCTCTGTATAGTTGATGGAATCTTGACAAACTCCAAGGTAGAGATTAAAACTATACATGAATGCCTTTTTTGTGGCAAATTGTTGGAAATTCAAGTTAGAGCATTTTTTACAACTTGGCTTTGGCTTATATGTTTGCCAACTTAAGGATTTCTATATTGGTTTGGTCAAAAATTCCAAATAAGTAGTTCTTTCAGCTATCTTTTAAAGTAAGATCAATGCTACCTGAAAGTAATAAACTATGACTTCAGATACCGATAAACTAAATAAAAATGTTTTATTAGTACAGATTGCTGTCAACCATGCTAAATTAGTAAGAGACTGAAATGTTTCAAAAAAGGTATAGCTGGTTATGGCAGGCTCTGCGGGGCAATGAATGAAAGAGATCTGTGTTAACGTTTTCCCCAATTTACCTTTCCAGCTGCTGAGTGCAAACACATAAAAGATTCGGCCTCTATGTTTAAGCATTGCTACTTAGCATCGAATCAGCATCAGTTAGAATATAATTACTATTAGGGACCCATATCTCATTTTTGGTGTACCCATTATATAAATTAGTTTTAAGGGAAAGTGATATTGTGTAATAATTACATTTTGGCCAAATGTAGCATACCTGCTTTTGTTATTATTTAACTGCTCATGCCTAATGCTTAAATTATCACTCCTTTTTCCTTACATGAAATGGGAAAACATTTGATTTATTTCACTTCTTTACACAGGCAATTGATTTGCATAATGCCTAATAATGCTGCTTTCAGATTCTCATGTGTTTACCATTTTATTGTTCCAGATATGCCAACAAACTGTCATTTTACAGAAAAAAATTTTTCAAGTTCAGAGGAAAGCCTGGGCTATCACTTTGAATACCTTCAATCAGTCCATCTGACAATGTTCCCAGGCAGCCAGATGCCCCAGAGAAACGAGATACAGTTTTTTTGTTTTTTATCAAATGACTCACCCACAATGACAGCTGTGACAGTGAGCAGCACAAAAGCATTCCGAAACAGGTAACTTTTAACATCCTCCTTTGTGATGTTCTGTACTTTCTTCTTGGCCAACAGTGTGCGTTTACGGACTCCTTGCTGGAATCGCTCCATCCTGCCCCCCATTTTGGGCTCTTCTCCATTGCTTTTAGTCATATTTTACTTTTCTCCGAGCGTCTCTTCTTTGCACCTCAGGGTCTCAGAATCACTCCCAGAAAGCCAAACCTCCTCTTTGGCGTTAGAGAACACAACTAGAATAAGAGAAAAAGAGACAAGAATTACAGCTTCCAGAGGTGAAAAATCAGTGCTGCCCACACCAGGCAAGCTTTTGGCAAAGTGTATACTCTCAGCAGGAATCAAGGACTGGACAGCCACAAGACCAGGCTTCAAGCCTTCAATGTGCATATTTTACTGGACCACGTGTAAGAAACGTGCATAAATTCAGAATACATGAGCAGAAACTTGTGTTCTCTCTTTTTAAAAAATTTGTCCTTCCCCCTCCAGTGAGGCTATAACAGGGTTCCTCGAAGATATTCGAGGTGTGACTGAGCACCCCTATCCCCACCTACTCCCCAGAACCTAGCCAAGTGCCTTGCACAATGTACACACGCAATAAGTGTTCAATCCAATTGAATGTACAGCAAGTGCTCAGTAATTACTTGATAAATTATGTCGTATACATGGCTGAAGGCATAACCAGGTCAATAAAAAGGATTAAGATTTTGATATACGACAGTTGAGTCTCTCTGTTACGTGTAGTAAAGTAACTGGCTATTTTTTCATTGAGAAAAAAATACGATAATATCAATTAGTAAATATGATCGTAAAAAGAACACAAGTGCCCACAGGACATAGGAAATACATTTGACTATTTTACAGGGTAACTTTTTAATTTTTTTGATGAAATAAGCAAAGTGCTCTGGCACATCTATAAATGATCTGAAATCGTAATTCATTTTCATTTTTATTACGAGTAGAAGTACCAAGTAGCATTTGTCTTTGGGGCAAACATACTGGAGTCTTCTGAGGAGACTATCGCTGACTTCTAAGTATTTTAAAATTTAGGATTTCTAGGAGAGATGAGGAGATGAATCCAATTTTCATTCCAAACATTACAGTGTGTGGTTTCTGGTTTCTTTAAAGCGCTCTTAGGTTATTCAATTACGTTCAAGTAAATCTCTTTGCTCGGTGGAAATGGGCTGTTCTGAAAAATCAAGGGATCGCTTCGGCTGCTTTACAGGAGTTCTGATCCACAGCCTTTTCCGTGATCAATCTGGGGAAAAACCGGCCGTGCTGTGGACGTGGGGCTGGCAGCGCGAGCAGCCAGCGTGTGCGTCTGCGGGGGTGGTAACTGGAAACCAAGGGACTCCTCGCAGGCTTTTGGCAAACCCAAGGGTGGAAAAAAAAAAACTTGTCTTAACAGTTTGACTTTTAAATAAAATTGCAGGTTGGGGGTCAACGGTAATAACACCTACAAGTTGTTTAAGACTTCACACCGGATTAGAAGCTTAGGGAGAAGTGGAGAAGGAGAGACGGAAGAGACCAGATTTTTTACTAACAGCTCTGATTCCCTTTACCACTTTCAAAGCTGATCAGCTCAGCCTCGGTTCTTCACTAGATCTCTGGCCACGATCTGCCCCCATCCACCCCGAATGTCCTCGAGCCCAGGTTAAGAGAGGACCGGAGTAAATAGAGACAGCACACGCTCACGACAGCAAATTACTGACACGGACTTTATCCACCAAAATGGCTAGCTTGACTCTCGCTACTCCTCTGCTTGGGACACAAAACACGCTGCACGCTGGCGGAGACGTGGAACCAGAAATGAGACACGGCGGGAACACACACTTACCTTTTCTGGTTTTGTAACGGGTGGAAGACACCGAGCAATGACGAGGTGAATGCCCCCGGCAGGTACAGCGGAGCGAGACCGCAGCGCGCGGGGCAGGCTAGCCCTGACACCAGGCATGTGCTCTGAAACTGCAAGTTACTACCACGGCGACTTAAGGAAAGGGGAGGAGCCTGTGCCCGGGAAGGGGGAGTGGGGAAATGAGAACAGCGCGGGGCAGGAGCTGGGAAGCCCGAGGTTTCTGGAATATTGATTAATCCTGGCACACCCGAAGCATACTTGCTGGCTTTGTTTTGCTCCTTAGACCACTTTCACGCTTTGTCAGTTCACTTTCATTAGAAATGCAAAATCGGGTCCAGGAAGAATTGAAAAATAAAGTGCACACACTCGGAAAGCTGGAAGTCTTGATTAGAACGTTTCAAAGACTTTTCTAAGGCTAAATTTAATTACCTTACATTATTGCAGGTTTCTTCCCTTTAGAGGAACACGAGAGTGTGCTCTTTTGCCTGGTTGTACAACTGTTATGAAAAAGTCCCTTTTTTTCAGAAGTGGGGAAATAACTGACGTTTCTTGGGAAGACCCTGAATGTAATCAAGTATGGAGAAAAAAATGCTAACTACGATTTTCTAAACTTGTCTAAAGTTACTCAAAACATAAGATAAGACATGTCTTTATTTTAGCAGTTTAAACTTCATTATGACAAATCTAATTTAGATCACACTGCCTGTGTTGCACAGACTGAAACGGTAAGAAACATAAAGAGACCAGGATCTTTGCCAAACTATAAAGCGAAAAGCATTTTAAGACCAAGAGTGCAAATGTACACTTGAGGTTTGGTAATTTCAAAAGATGAGTCACTGTTCGGCTGCCTCAATTTTAAAGGATGCTAAATGTCTCCTCCTCCCGCACACA